AACCCACCTATTTTGGGCGAGAGGGCTGACGGGGAGCTTTGGCAAGGTCGACCACTTTTTTGGCCGGACCGGAGCGACATCTATTTTTGTGAATCCGGAGAACCGCTTCAATCTACAGACCAGAGCAGCATCTATTGAGCAAATGGAGAACCGTTTTCTTTGTGAAAATACTGGCGGTGCTGGGGGTGTCAACCGCTTTAGTTTTCGGACCAGAGCGGCATCTACTTTTAGTGGTTGGTCAACAAAGACCGTCAAAAGCAGACCGCGTCATGTCGGGCTTGAAAAGTGCAACTTCGCAATTCGTTTTGACACTAAGTTTGACGGCATTTGTTCGTGGAACAAGCAATCCAACCACAGACGATTCTCCCTCCCGCACTTTTTCGAAGTGTGCCTACCTAGAACGGTCTCAAGTTTCAGACCGTTTTGGAGTTGGAGTTGCTTGGCTCTCATATCACGAAGGCGAATCCATTTTGAGCACACCGCAGAAACGTTTGTACTATTCCACAGATCTCTCTCTCTCTCTCTAGATATGATTTGTACTTCGCAGCGGTTGGCGAATCCCGTTAGAGCAAACCCACGTTGAGCGATGACGTTGAGCAAGCTTTTGCAACATTTCAGAAACCGCACAAGACATCCCGTCGCTTATGTCCAGCTGCTGCAGGGGTGGGGGCGCTGGCGGGGCAGGTTCATTTTGGTTCACATATAAACATAGATAAACACAGATGTACATATGGATGCATACACACGGTTTACGGACGGCATGTGCACGTGTTTACTCCAAGCGACAAAGTGTTTAAGCAAGTAGCTTTTGCTGTAACTATTACATGTGCTTCACCGATCAGTTTGATTTTGATGTAATTGCAATATAGCCATGGCAGTAGTATATGAGCACCATCTACACATCTGCTACGCTTTGCGAGTCATTTGTAGCTCTGGGCACAACAGTTGGTTTCCCTACTCGCTTTCGTGAATGTTGGGCTTTTCATGCTGTGGTGGACTCTATTTACATGCGTGGCCATTTTGCTAATGCAAACATTTGCCAGCGTGATATGACAATTTGGAATATGCCAGTGCTTGCACGTTTTGTTTGGATGAATACCAGAACCCATGGCAAAGAACATGCACATTGCTTTGGCCCACAAAACAAATCAAACAAAGATGCAACTACACTGTAAACAGAACTGCAATCTTAAACGTTGGTAGCTTTGTGTTGATGGGGGCTTCTTTTATATATGCATATATGAATGTACACACGTGTTTTGCCAGTGTGGCATGTACACAGGTGTGGTCCATGCATGACCTTCGCCCGTTTTTTTCAAAGCGGGCGTGGTCGCCTGAGCGGATGCGCAGGACTGGCAATTTGGGGTTGCACTCCACCAGATTCCTATGTGCCCTGGATGTGGTGCGAGCGGAGAGAAATGAGGGCACCTCCCAATGGCGGTTTCAGAGTTGGTTTTCTGTTTTCAGGTCTGAGCATTTTGAGGCATCTCGATTTACCAGCTTTTTCGGAGGATTTCGCTTTGTCTAGAGCACGCGAGTGATTTTGGAGGGCTTGAGCCCCTTTCTGGCCGCCTCGTTTATGGGGTTCCTAAATTTGCAACACGTTCGACCATCACTGTTGGGCCAATTTTTGGTGCCTCTTGGTCGGGTGATGTTTTGTGGAGAACAAAGGGATGTCTCCTCCCGATGATTCCTCTTTGACGCGGTTTAAAGGGGAAAGCCCTGCAGAAGAACGTCTGAATTGGGGGGAGCCCGTCTTCCCGCTGAGGTACCAGCTACAGCGACTTTCCAAGAACCTCTCCAAAGAGCTACAGCGCGCCCGCGGCGTGGATGCATCTCTGGGGCTTAAGCCGCGTCTTAAAGTTGACCGCACCACGATGGTGTCCGGTTGGATTCCTTTTTACTTTTCTATTATTTGTTTCCGGTTTATTTTGTTTTCTTTCTTTTTTTTTTCCCCCATCGGAGACTTCCTTTGGTTTGCTCGTCGCAGAAGCCAAGCCCCTAAACCCCGTGCCGGCCTGGTGGGCCTTTAGAGCAACCCTTTTTTGCAGGATGTTCGACTGAGGTTTCAGAGCACCCGGAAGCAGCCTGGGCAAACTACGAGAATTTGCCCTTGGTAAAAGGACACTACAAGTAAAGGACCTTCACAACGGGTGAGCTCGGTTTTCGCCCAGGTGAGCATGCTATAGTTTCCAAAAACTTGTCATAACCCACTGACTGAAGGGGGGAAACACAACCTTATTTCATTTTCTTTGGTAGTGTTAATGATCATTCCGAAGTTGTTTGAGATTCTTTTTGGTATTGCGAGGAAGCATTTCTTTACCTGTCCTGGAAGGAGGTCAGGTTAGGCGACAGAGGAGTCCTCTCGACAATCGGCCATGGCACGAGCTAGATGAACTTCTGGGGGACAGTCCCAACCAGAAATAGCAGTGAACTTCTGCCCTTTGATTCTTTGCCACAACTCCTTGAATACCAGTGATGTATTCTCAGCGCAACCATTGAGGGGAATGAGACTCCTTTGGGTTTTGATGACTCCGCTTCCCCTTTGTCCGAACTGCCCGCGTTGCCCGCCTGCCTGAGGCAGCGGCAGCTTCGGCTCGAACACAGACCTGGCGGGGATGGCGCCATCGGGCTCCGAGGAGAATCTCAAGCGGCTCCGTGAGGCGGTTCCGGGATGGGGACCTTTCTGGAAATTCGGACATCAACCAGAGCAACCAGAGCACGAGGAAATTCGTTGCAGGTGTCCAATCGGCCAACCTGGCCATTGGGAAGGAGTGCGACAAGGGGGCCCTTTAGGAACCACAGGTTCGGGTTTGGACGCAGACTTCGGCCCTGCAGGTGCCAACCTTGCAACCCCGGGCTTCATTTCCAGCCTTGTCCCTTTTCCTGCTCAAACAGACCCATGAGCACCCGGGTTCCACGTTTTCTAGACATACACGAGCACTTGTGGATTCCTTTCGGGGGAATCCAGAGGTTCATTTTCAGCACCCTGGGTCATTTCCTACTGGGAGCAGCAAGAGAACTCGGTGTGAATAGACACCCTTCGTATTTTTGTACGGGTGGGATTGACTTCTCAGTTTTTGATGGCTTAGATGCCATCAAGAACCTCTGGAGCAGCTTGCCAGGGTTCGGCAAGAGACGCAACTTGACCCCGGTCGCCGAAACTCTTGGATGCTTTGGGAAACCAGAAGAAACCCTGATGTTGTGGGATTGTTTTAAAGGGACTCGAAACACACAATTTGTTGCAAGCACACATTTTTTGGCTCCAAGCAGCGACTTGGGGGGGAGAGGACGCCTGGCTTTCCTTTGCCGCTCGAAAAGGGTACCCTCAAAACAAACATGCCCATTGCTCGCTCTGTCCAGGCATCGAAGCAAAAATCCAAGCAACAGCCCGGTGCTCAGAGTAGCGAAGTAGCTCGCCTGTGACGGGACATGTTGACATGGGATCATGACCACGCTGGGTTTCCGGCCAGCTTCTCAGAGCCCATGCAGCAGTCCAAAATGGAGCTCGGCACCATGCGTCTAAAGAAATGTTGACCGCTGAATGAATCTGGCAGATCCATTCTGGAACCCCTCTGAAATGGGATGCAAACCCCAAAGAACATTTATTGAATGAGGAAGGACCACTGAATTTCTCATGTCCGGGAGAAGACCACATTTTCACTGCAGCTCCGACGGTGACTTTTGATATTGAAATCGCTACGCGATCCGCCGACGCCACCGGTGCGACGACTTCCGCGGCTGTATATCCAATGCCAAGACGGCTAAAAAGGTTCAGTTTTTTGGGTCTATCAGTGTATGATTTTCGGACGTGAAAACTCGGCATGTACGTGACATTTTATCCCAACCACATGTCCCATAAATGCTCCATGTAAGCCGTCAAGTGCCACAAAGTAGGACAAATCTATTGCGTCAAAAACTGCCTATCCCTCCCATATGCTGAGAATGCGGAGGATGCGGCCAAGCTGCATACCAGGCCAGACTAAATGCTCAAGCCCAATGCAGGGAATGCTGGGGATGCAGCGTGCTAAAAGCAAGTGTTTCTCGATTTTGCCCAAAATTATCCATCAAAAAAGGATGACAGCAACCCCCTTCAAATACCCGAAACATAAACTTCTACAAGCACAGTAATGCAGGGGATGTTTTGCAGCGACGCCGACGCCCAGTACTTTTGGGCATTTCGCAAAAACACTAGCAGTTCCTTTAGATCGTCACTACACTTGCCGCCACCAAGACCCCAAACATGCCAAATCCAACATCAGAAAAAACAAAAGCACCGTTGATATCGGCAAAACACTTCAAGAAAAGTCATGCCGCCCAAAACGGCCCTGATAGTGCTTGGAATGCAGATTCTTACCACCGTAGGCAACCCCACCCCCCGAAGACCTAGACAAAACGCGCGTTTTTGGCGTTCGAAGACCAAACACACCGCACAATTACAGGGTTTTGGACTGGCAAATTGTGCCCAACGCTGGCCTCCCCGAAAGCCTTCGGTTTTTTTTCGTGAACGCTCGACTGGCGTCGGCGTATTTGATCCGCAAGTCTCAGATCAGTCGGCTGCAACAGCTCGCCGAAGTGGGATGCTTTGAGCTATAATGAAAACCCGGGTAGATGAAGACTAGTAAGGAACAGTCCCAGCCAGATATAGGTGCAGCCGCCATATTGATTCTTTATATGGCTTCGGGTTGGCCAATTTAATGCCAGATTATGTGAGAAGTGTGGAGTTACCACCGAGGTCGGGCAAGAAGAAGACCCCCTTGGACACGATTTTGAACGTGATCGGCTGGCCAGCGCTCCGACAGAAAGAGCATTGCCTGTCGCACCTGACGCGTCTTGTTGTTCGAGATAGGCCCAGATGAAGCCATGAAGCAAGCCGATCTCTCCAGGGGCCGGGCCTTCCAAAGCCGATCTGAATGCCAAGCGAGCGCGTGACCGGCCATGTGAATGAAAAGACATCACATGCTTTGCTGATGGCTGAGGCCCGCTACCTTTTTCGCGAGATGTGGCTTTGGACAGAACGTGATTTAGCTCTCTATGCAGTCGTGGGACTGTTTCTTCTGGAGGTGTACGCCTCTCGGCATAAGAGCGGCACAAGAGCTGAGGGCTGGGGGCGGGGGTCGCCAGAATTCGCACTTTTTGACGAACATTCGGAGCAGCCGGCATGAAGCTGGAATCTGATCCATGAGTGAATCTGATCCATGAGTGACCCTCATGGCTGGTTTGTCGTTGTTTCTATTTACCTCCTTTGGGGTTTGTGGTGGACATCAAGGTGGTCCTTTGTTGGGCAAACATGGGGATGCCAGTGTGGGGCTATGAACCTAAACTTCTGGGTCCAAAGTGACATCCACAAGATTGTCTCTTTTTTTGAGTCCCCATACCCTGCTAGTATACCAAAAAAATGCGCAAAAGCCAAGCCCAACTGTGAAGCCAACCGCCGATGGATTGAGAGCCATTGATCCTGAGGTGGGCTCCCAGTTTTTCGCCTGGTCCCCCGTGTGCCTCCTGTATCCCATACTCGCAAGCTCAACAGGCGCGTTGAGAGAGGAAGAGAAAGCGAGAGAAAGTGAGTCAGCAGGGAATGAAACTGGAATGACCCCAAGACAAACCATCCATTTCCTATGGTTCCCCCTTCCGGTTTATTCCCAACACCCGGAAGGTCATCCCTTGCGGACCAGCAAGCATTGTGAGATCCAAGGGTTTTCATAGTGTATACACCCTTCAAAAGATAATATGGTGGAAAGAACGCAACGACTTACAAGAGAACATGCACGTTCGATCCTGCCTGTGAGAGTTCATTTCCCGAACCCAAGGAGCGTAGGCAGTATAGCCTTCATGTATTGGTGGCCAATACTTCCATTTTTCCTTGGGTCCCGGCAGTGGTTTGGGGGTCGTGGAAACCCTGAAGTGGCTCGATGGTGATTTGAGGATTTGCATCCCTGGCTCTTGAACATCCCAAAGGAAACACCCCCTGCCAAACCAAACCACCAAGCCAAACCACCAAATCAGAGGCAGACCTTGGAACACCGAGAGGTTTTTCATGGGTCCTTTGCTTCAATTTCGACAGGTAATCCAATTCGTGTTGGTGTCTCCAACCCCAATGAACTTATGCAATTTGCTGTCGTCTCCAACCGATGTGGGTCGTTTTATGAACACATTTGCAGGTGGACCACCGGAATCCGTCCGAATGGCTCCGCAGGTTCGCGCAAGGCGCAGGAGCTGCAAGATGAGCTTGTGATGATCTTTGCCCCAGAGCTGCTCACCGAACCCAACAGTTTTTTTGTTTTGTTTTGTTTAAACCATTATTCTTATAAGAATATGAGTAGGGGGACCACCCCAACCAATGGGTGGTAGGCACAAAACTCCGCTGGCACGTGATTTTTGCCAGGGTTCTCCAATTTAGGGAACCTCAAAAGCCACCGTGTTAGAGGGATCTCCTTGAAAGGGACGCCTCCTTTCTTGGGTTCCGTTAGAGCCGATCTCAAAAAGATGCCTTTGCGAGAAGAAAGCGTTCCCTTTGCGAAGAATGGGTGCCTTCCAAAGGTCGAATGTGCGCTCTGTTCATATTCATGGTGGTGGGGCAGGTTGACAAACATCGTGCAGGTTCTCAGCAGGTAAGATGATGGTTCAAAGACAGCAACCCTTCCTACATTTGGAAGGTGGTCATTCCCATATTCCCCACTAAGAACAAGCAACAACTCGGCACTCCTTTTCAAAGAGGGAGCTATGGTTTCTGGACCTCCGCGAGTTTGCACTTTCCGTAGGAGGAGGTGGACGAATCGCCAACACTTTTGCCGCAGATTCGGGGGATTTGGGGAAGGCAAAGGGGGACCATCCAAAAAAGTCTAACAAAGACTTGCGGGGGGCTGGGTTATAGCAATTTGAAAACAAGCTGAATGTGCGGAAGAGTGCTTCTCTTTTTGCCTTGAGGTACAGATTCTGGCGGCGAGTGAATATTCCAGTGTCAATACAGGCGGGGATGTGGCAAGTGGCAACTCTGCATGATAAGGTCATCAACTTGCGAGGCATGCAAGGCACGTTGGGCCCATCCCCTTGTTGCAGGATTTCGGCTTGTCATCTCATGTGTGCTATTCAAAGGCTTCTGATGCCATCTCAAAGGCCCGGAGCTGTTCGCTCCGCGGCCAATCCGAAAAACCTGGAGAAACCGGAGCGGTCGCAGCGTAGAGGTCATGGCCATGCGGATGCGCAGGTGTTGGTATGCCACAACATGACCATCTACATTCTTATCGCAACCTGGCTGTCCGCCATGCAAATCTGTTGGACTTGAATCATGAAGCAAATCGGTGTTTGGATTCTGTATGCAGGCCCTGGCCACAGGTTCCAGCAAAAAGATGTGACGAGCCATGAGGCTTTGTTTTCTTTGCTGTGCGACTCCGACTTGACGCGCTCAGGTATTATGCTTTTCTCCTGATCGAAGGCCAGGACATGTGTTGCAGCTTGCACCAGCACACGGGCTGAGTCTCTCTTGTTTTTTTCTTTTTTTGCAAGGCTGGGTGCCGTAAATGTCCCCAGTGAATCAACCACAAGCACAAAACCCCGGCAAGTTCCGGGGAAAGGCGCCTGGCTGAATCGCCTTCGCTTTCCCTGCTCCAGTGCAGTTCGCAGCTCAACCGTGCGACCTCCAGAAAGGCAATGTGAAGAGCTACTTAACTGTGGCCGCAAACTCGCAGAATGACTGTTTGCGAGCCAGCCGCCGCCTTGCCGAAGGCGGCGAGCGCACGCAGAAAGCTGCCGCCAAAGGCGGATCCAAGGTCTGCGCTGCAACAGTTTTCACACACGACGCGAGCATTTCTCTGAAGCGATGCGAAATCCGCGCCGGTGAGCCGCCAGTGTTTGCCATCCCATCAACTGCGCTGAGCATTGTAACAGGTCTCCGCGCAAACAATGACACATCTGCAAATTGTATTCCGTGGTCTGCAAGATCACATATTCAGGCTGCTGTATTTTGCAACACGCCGTGTTCTGCATTTTGTACTCTCAACGACACATATTCTGTGTTTCGTGATCTGCAAGCTGGTGTACTTGAAGCCACGCCCGTTATTGCCCACCGCCCCCCCAGCCCCCCTTAGGCCTCCGCTTTAAGGCGCCTTTGCAGTCAAGTTTTTGCTACGAAAAGAGCGAAACCACCTGGCGCCTCGTCACGAGCTGGGCAACTACAGTTCTTTTTCCTCTACTTGCATGTCTAGCGCATCCATCGCAGCAACAGCTTGCTGGTTTCAAGAGTGCGCGCTGAGTGCAAGGATGCCTTTTTTGCAATTCTTGGCATGCCACAAGCCGCTAAAACGGGTCCCTTGATGTGTGCATCTCCAGATCAGAGGATGGCCTGAATTTGTTGGCCCAATGCTTGCATGCACCAGGGATGTCTACGTGGGCAAGACACCGTGCTGGCAGACTTTCGTGTGGGCAGGCCTGCTGTTGGCATCTTGGTTGCATCCGCTGGCGAGCCAGAGCGGACGCGCCCCACGCTCTTTGTGTCAAGGGCTCAAGTTGCATCAGGGATCCTTGTCTATCCCTGTGGTTGAAGCATCATCATTTGGTTGCCGCTCTCGATGGATGTTGTTCAGGGACCAGCTTCCTTGCGAAGTCTTTGGAGCACCCATGCTTACCTGCTCGGTTTTTAGGGAATGAGGGAATGAATTCATTCCAACTCCACCCCGAAGTTGATTCCCACGGAAGCTGCAAGATTGGTTCAGGTGCTCTCAATCATTGGCATGATTGGGACGAACCTGGTGTGGGCCGTGGGCTCCGTGCGGCTCAGCCTGCCCCGCAAGGCGCCCACAACGATCAGCTTGATGCCTAGAGTTTGAGGAACATGGCCGTGGGTCAACACCAACGGCACTATTTTGGGGTAGGTGAATTCACCACCCATCTTAGTCTATTTTAGTGGGGATTGGGATGTCCACTGGGGATGCGGGGTTTTGACCCGTGGCCACATGCCTTGGCTTTTTGATGGAGACCCAAGCATATGGAAGAGCAGAGGCGTGCAAAGCAAGTTCGGAATCAAGAACAAGAACGTCCAAAGGGATGAACCAAAGCGTGTCTTTGCAGGAAGCCAACTCTGAGAGGCTTTTGAGGCACGGCGATGCAACAACAGCTTCGGGAAAGCTGGCACCCGGAAAACCTGACCGCCAGGTTTTCCTGATGATCTGCCAGTCCATGTCGAATCAGGCAGGGAGGTTGCTGCCACGTGCTCGCTGAAAGCATGCTGATGCATGGTCTTGCCACTGTGGGTGGAACTCATGTGGTTGTTGCCGCCCTAACTCGAGAAGTCCGAGTTGGTGGTTCCCATAGTTTTCCTTCAAACCAACTGGCGTTGCGCCCAGGGCTCGATTTTCCGCTGGAGCCGCGATCAGCGATGCCATCTCAAAAACAGAGGCCTGCGCCCCAGAACGTTGAGCTGGCGCACGGGCCGCATGTGGGAGCTGTGCCTGGAGAAATGGGTGCGTCGTTTTGAGTGTACTCTTTTTTTGGGTGGTTGCAAAGGGAAACCAGCCGGACGCCACCAATTGTTCAAATTCGACCATTTGGAGAGAAACCCAAATCTCTATTATTTTGATTCAGCGAAGTTTGCTCCGGCTGGCATACCACCAATCTCTAGCCCGGATACAGCGCTTCAGCTAGCGGTGAGGGCATTTGTCCCACTCCCCAGCGCTGCCTGGGTTCAAAGGTGTGTTGGAAGAAGTCCTGGTTGCGCCATCCAGGCACAGATGCTGACCCCTATGACCGCCGCCGTGGACCTTTGTACTGCTACATCGGCTGGTTCTTGATGCACAAGACACCCAAGATGATCGAGGCAGGGGGTCAGCCTAGAAGAAACCAGTGCTGTGTACGGGTCAAACTGGGTTTCAACAGCCGAGCTTTAGCGTGCTTTGGACATGGGCATGTTTTTTGTTTTTGTTGTGTGTGCGTGTGTGATATTGGCACTTGAGTAGGGCAAAAGTGGCTTGAATGTCCAGCAGTTGGCTGTGTGTCAAAGCTGGGGATACCTGTATTTGTCCGCTTTCAAATAGAAACCATACCAAGTTTTGGAGTCCCTTGACACTTTGGGTGTTCAGCCTTACAGTAAGTGGGCAACCTACCAACCTCGTCTACGATTCGGAGGTGTTATCCCTCAACGTGGGCCTCACAGCGGCACCTAGAGGTCTTTTTCGGATGTCCCAACAAGAAGCCAAAAGCTAGCCAAGGATAGAACTCAGGGGTCGCCCAGTGTAACAAAGGCAAAGGACAAGAAGTTGCTAGCCTACAACAGTGGTTTGCAGTGGTGTAGTGGAACTACAACAGGGTGGCTACCTCACGCACCATTTGCTTTGGTCTGTTGAAACATTTGAACATGATTTGGAAGGCACCATTCGGAGGCTGAGTTTGAGACAGGGTTGAGGGCACGTGACACAGAGGCGAAGGCTGGAGTGTCGATTACCATGAGCAAAGGTCAATCAGTTCCATCCGTGAAGGGCATGACATACTTGTCAATCACATGAGCAGCCGAAACCCCTGTTGGCCATTTTTAGTAGGTTCTACCTGCTTTAAGAGTTATAAGGCCTATACAAGCCTTTCAAGCAATAGCCGTGTTGGTAGAACCACAGGTCAGTGGGTATCTGGCACTCACATCGGGTGTGGCCACGGACAGCGCCTGTGAAAGTGCTTGTGCAGCCACGATAGATTTCCTGCAGATGGAGCCCTTTTTTTTATCTTCTTCCCGGGGTGTCAACAAAACGGGCTTGGAGTTTTCAGTGTCCAATCTGCAGAGTTTTTGCAGAAAGGGCTGTTTTCCATGGCCAATGCCCGCAGGCCACTCGATCTGTGGACGTCTCGGATTTGCTGCAAGATCAGGCTGGGAAACTGGGGCTTGATTCCCCCCCGGCGGGGAATGAGTTGCAACGAACTTCCCCTTCTGACTTGGTTGTTGGTTGCTTCTGCTGGGCAAGAACGGGGGTCCCTTCTTGGGACGAGCCTTTTTTTGTTGCCTTTCAAGCCACGTGTACCAACCCTTTTCTGTTCCTGCATGGGTAGAGAAAGCTTTCTCACGCTGTAAGAGGCAGGCGGTGAATTCATGGAACGAATTGCTGATCACTGCCTACTGAAGCTATGGAGAACAGATGCTTCCTAGGGGAATTTCGACTTGGAGAAACGCCGGCAAACCCGCTTTAAAGCGGGCTCCCCTTTTCAGGAACCCCACTCCGCAGCTTTCGCACGTGGATTGCGTGGCTTTGCGCGGGCAACCATGTGGAGGGGGGTTCTCAAAAAGGTTTCCCTTTCAAACTATCACTTAGAGAGTATCCTTGATGATGTTTCAGTTTTGTTGGACCCAACTCGCAGCTTGTTCGGCAGCTTGTTCGAGCCAGGTGGTGATGTTCCAGGCGGATGTGGACTCCTGGTGGAACTTGTCCCTGTGCCATGCGCTTCCGGCCTTCGCCGCCTGGCGGAGATTTGTGTCTCATGACCTGACGTCTTGGAAGCCTGCCCAGCCAGAGACACCGGCAGTTTGCCTGAGGCTCAAAGGAACGGAGATCAACAGTTTGTCTAAACCGAAATAGAGGAATGGGGTCATCTTGCCCTCACCCAACTGTAAACTGCACCATTGTCGATTTCTGCAAGTGAGGCGTTTGTGGGACCTTCACGAAATGGAAAGGACCCCCCAGTTTTGACACGTGGCCGTGTTCTGCCCAAAGACCCGCTTCAGAGCGACCGGATTGCATGTTGGCAAGAAAGAGCGTGTCTTAGGATGTCACAGGGGCCTTCATTTGCCTTAGGATGCCGCATGCGAGTCCTTTTGGAAAGGAGAACCAACGCATTTTGGTGCCTCCTCTACAGCTGTTGAACTGCATTCCCACTCATGCTGGTGTTTGATGTTAACACCCCTCCCATCCCATCCTTCTATTGAGCATGCTCAGTCAAGTTTTGGCTTTGGATGGTCGACTGAAGGCCACGCTGCTGTGGGGCGAGGAGCTCTTCCTGGGCTGGGTCATTTCAGGCTGCGCCAGGCCAGGACGGGGAGCAACTTCTTCGGTTGAAGGGTTGCTGGGTTCGAATTGGTAGCTTGGTCTAGCCCTCGGTCTGGATTTAGCAGAGGGGAGGGCTTCGGGGAAGGTTCAGGCTGCGGGCTTGCGGAGAGACATTTGCCCGGACAAGTGCGTGCTTCTTGTAGAGGGGCCCTGCAAAAAGTGGCTGGTTTTGTTTTGGCAAACTTTCATTTCGTGCCCCCTTGAGGTCAACACGTGAGCAGGGCATGGTTGTGTGATGTTTTCTGGGTATTGCAGTGGGGTGGTTGATTTCCCAAATGTTTCAAGTAAACTACCCAAACACCAAGGTTTAATACAGAGTTCTCAAGTATGCATCGTTGGTTGGTAGAGCCCAGAGTCAATAGGGTCTGGACATTCCTGAATGCTGTTTGTAACTGCGTTCTATTAGCCTAATCCAAGCACAGGCTTCAGAGCCGCCTGGTCGAGTCGCTACAATCACCCACCTCAAGCTGGATCCCTTTTGTCCCCAGTGAAACACTCGCCTTTGTCTGAACCGCCTTTCAACTGCGACAGCTTCTGTCGCACCGCAGGTCAGTGCTCGCGTTGCACATCAACCTGAACCTGGGCTGCACTCGAATTTAGCCCAACCATGATGCCCCCATGGCCCCCATGACCCCCCCCTCCCACCGTCGTCGCGCCCCCCCTCCAGGTTTCCAGGTTTTTCCCCCCACGTCCGAAGTGGGGTGTGTTTTCAGAGGTCGCTTCGCGTCCAAGGCTCCTGCTGAGCTTCCAGCACCGCTGGGCGCCGCAGAAGGTGTCCGTCACTTCGGAGGACTCCTCTGAGGAAGAGGAGCCCACGGACGCAGTGCTGGGGGCAACCGGAACTTTGATAGGGTCTGTACTACATATGTATATATATATAGTACATATGTAGATATATACCTGTATATATATACATATATATAGAAATATGTATATATATATATAGATATATTCGTCATATGTCTCTCTCTCTCTCTCCCTAAAAAACTGAATACATAAATAGATAAATAGATAAATAGATAAAGAAACAAACAAATTAATCAATAAATATATATATATATATATATAATATATATATATATATGCATACACTATATTATCCAATTGACATCTTGGCTGAATGACGTAGGCAACCGTCACTGCAATTTATTTTTCTTTTAATTGCACCTCCCTTGAAATCATGCCTGAAATTCTTAGGGACAAGTCCCTGGAATACTGGGCCGACTCCTGAGAGAGCTGCATTGGGGTGAGTGGGTGAACCGAGTGGGGCAACACTCTGAAATGAGGCAACTGGAACGAAAGAGGAAAAACGCTGAAGGCTTGCTGGTTCTCAGCAGGGAATGATCCCCTATAATTTCCTCTCAGGGAATTCCTGGGCTCATTCCTAAACCCTACGTCATTCCCTACTGAGCATTTGCAAGAAAAGCTCCCCAGGAAACTCTCTTTGTTTTTCTGTTTAGCTGGAAGATGCAAACGCATCGACGCCTTTGTCTGCCCCTCCCCCCCCACCAACAGAAACATAGCTTTCATTTATGTTCCGAGTTTTTTTTTGCAATCAGACACCAAAAACAAGGGATTCACTCATTTTGCTATGTCAGCTTGCTGGCAGCTGTGTCTCACATGGGCATGCGTCACTTCTGACCGTTCAACGGAAAAGTAGATCCAAGGGAGCCTTCCCCTTGAGGGTCCACAGTTGAGACACACCCATACCTGCTGCTCTCCTGCTTGACCCGCAATTATTAAGCGCGCCCCGCTCCAATTTTCAGGCTTTTACCTGATTGCCCTATGCAGGTTCTTGGGGTGTCACCGACCGGCGAATCAGAGTGCACTTATCAAGGGTGTTGCCAAGTATGTTTTGACGTTAGGATCATGGCACGACTGATCTGACAGTTGACTTCCGCGTTTGTTTGTTCGTGTGTGTGTGTCAAATTTGTTCTGTGTTTCCTTGCCGAGGGTAGCTCCATAGCTCCACCACAACTCATTTAAATGCCCGCACATTTGTTTTTTGCTGCTCTGGCGAGGACCTGATTCAGCAAAGCCGTGCACCAAAACAGGCCGGTGAGAGATGAGCGCAGAGGGGGCCGGGCCAGACGGTGTTGGACACATGTAATTATGAGTTCTGGGCCAGCAGAGGCAGACCTTTTGAAGAGGATGTATTGGCTGTCAAAACGGGTACCCTGGCACGAGCAAAAACAAATGCAGGCTGACTGGCTGGCTCTTGGGGATGGACGACCAGAGAAGCATGGAATCATTTACCATTCATCGAGGAGCAAATAATGAGGTATCCAAGTACCAGCCGATTGATCTTGAACAGCTGATGTACGAAAACGATGACATTGGGCCAAATTGAGTCAAACAACCAGACCCTGAAAGGGAAAACCATGTTGTGCAAACCACAGGAACACTTTCTTTGCGGTCCAGAAGGTCGTGTAAGCAACGGGCACATTTTTGGGGGGCTCGGCTCGCCGCCATGGAGTCACTTTGGGGGCGCCCCGATCGCCGAGGCCTCTGAGGAGACGCGGCGCCTCGGCGCGCAGCACCAGCCGGCGCTGCTGCGCTCGGCGACTCGCTTGAGAAATGCGGTTCGGAGCTTGATGCGATGGGTCAAAGCCGAGCGGAATTCGGAAGGCCTGCTGAAAACGGGTCCAAGAACCTGGTGTTGGGTGGGCAACAAAATAATAATAGTTGTTTTTTCCTCTGTTGTAGAGTACTTGCTTGATCAACCCCTGGTTGATCAATGGCGGCCCTATTTAAGGGTTGTTGGATTCTTTGGGGGAAGCGCCCTTATAAAATTTGGCCAGGTTGAAGAATCTGGGTTCAGCATGAGGGTGCCCTAGATGTGTTTGTTTTGACGGGGCTTCACCAAATTTCAAAAGAAATGGATTGCAACGCGTCTCACATTTGCCCATTCGCAACTTGAAAACTGCAAGGATTCCTTGGAGCTTTGCCAATCAGGGGTTGGTGGGGGCCGACTCCTTAGGCATCCATCGCGGATGCGCAGCAGCTCATGAAAGAGGCGGAGGAATCCAAGGCCTGGGTTTCGAGGCTCCAGCTAGGAGCAAAAGCCAGGGGGGCAAGTTGGGTTCCCGGTTTGCCTTGTATAGGTGTTCAAGCTGCTTAGTAAGTAGGTCGCAACAGCGGTTACAAGAGGGACTAACCCCAGATGGAGAGCTGAACAGCTGGAAGGGGCATCCCAACTGAAGGACATAGTTACGTGTGCGGGGGTTTCAAAACAGAGGACCCCCCAAAATGCCATGTTTTATTTCCTTTACAGCCACCAAATGCGGGGCCTAATTGCTGGACACTCTGACTCGCTGCGCAAGGTTGTTGTGGTTTGTTGCTTTGCTGTTGGTTTGTTGGCGGTTTGTTGTTGTTGTTGTTGTTGTTGTTGTTGTTGTTGTTGTTGTTGTTGTTGTTGTTGTTGTTGTTGTTGTTGCTGTTGCTGTTGCTGTTGCTGTTGCTGTTGCTGTTGCTGTTGCTGTTGCTGTTGCTGTTGCTGTTGCTGTTGCTGTTGCTGTTGCTGTTGCTGTTGCTGTTGTTGCTGTTGCTGTTGCTGTTGCTGTTGCTGTTGTTGTTGTTGTTGTTGTTGTTGTTGTTGTTGTTGTTGTTGTTGTTGTTGTTGTTGTTGTTGTTGTTGTTGTTGTTGTTGTTTGTTCTTGTTCTTGTTCTTGTTCTTGTTCTTGTTCTTGTTCTTGTTCTTGTTCTTGTTCTTGTTCTTGTTCTTGTTCTTGTTCTTGTTCTTGTTCTTGTTCTTGTTCTTGTTCTTGTTCTTGTTCTTGTTCTTGTTCTTGTTCTTGTTCTTGTTCTTGTTCTTGTTCTTGTTCTTGTTCTTGTTCTTGTTCTTGTTCTTGTTCTTGTTTGTTCTTGTTCTTGTTCTTGTTCTTGTTCTTGTTCTTGTTCTTGTTCTTGTTGTTGTTGTTGTTGTTGTTGTTGTTGTTGTTGTTGTTGTTGGTTGTTGTTGTTGTT